ACGACTGGGCCACCCGTGAGGATATGTACAATGGTCTGAAAAGTGAAGACAGTGTGCATCTCATAGACACATGCAAATATTATACATTTTAGTGTTTTTATATAGATTTAACAATAGTAATGGAAACAATAATATGCGGGCTACTAAACCTGTTATTCACTGTGTGTGGGTGTGGGTGTGGGTGTGGGTGTGAGGGCGTGCGTGCGTGCGTGTGTGTCTGCTTGTACTGGTCCGGACAAATGACGCCCACATAACGTCGTCATTTGACATCGGAATTTTATGCGAGCGAACGATGCTATCAAGCTCCTCCTCCTACATGTGTTATTTTGCCAATTTGTGTTCTGTACCCACGTTTGTAATTGTTTTAAAGCTAGAGCGGTATCATCATAAGCAGGTTGTGCTGGTTTACCGATCTTTTTTTTCTTCTGAAAAACAAAAAACATTTTTGGATGCTAAAACATAATCACGTCATCCTGTATTTAATTAACATTTCTTATTCTAATACTGCTAATGTTTGTCAGTAGCCAGTGATAGCATGTTCATTTTCGGGTATGAAATATTCTCTTTCAAATCAATAGTGACGATAAGCTATGACTTTATTTCGTATTTGTGATGGACACTCTTATGGCTCACGGAATTAATGTGGAAGCATTTTAGGACATACTTTGTTACACAGTGGTTTTTGCTTGGTAATATGATCTCCGTTTTCTGACCACCAAGATCCACCATCCCAAGGCCCCTTTAGTCTGTCTTATAGACCCTGATACGAATATATATCAAATACAGCCCATGCAAGTCTATAATGTTTGGCAAGTCTAGATGACTGCAGTATCAGAATCAGTATCGGAAAATGAAGAGAGTCACTTGGCTCCTTTTTATTATATTTTTATTAAGATAACTGAACCACTGGTTTTTTTCTGTACGATATGTTCATTTCAGAGAGTAGATGTTAGTCTAAAGGCCCCTCTGCATAAGGACCAGCACTGAGCCTGTTTATGGAATGTCATTTTTTAACTTGAAACTCCACAATTTCTGCTCAGATCCGAGCATATTCTGACCACTGGAGCATATAGTAGAAAGACATGACCTCGTTACGCCACCCCTCCCCATCAGGTGTTTGCTAAAGCGAGAAGGGCAGGAAATGTATGCTTCTGCCCAGCGCCGAGCTCGCGACACACTGTATCCGACCCGTGAAGATTCCGGGGTATAATAGGTCTTCAGCAACCCATGCTTGCAGTAAAAGGTGACTATGCTTGTCGTAAAAGGCGACTAGAGGGATCGGGTGGTCAGGCTGGCTGACTTGGTTGATGCATGTCATTGATCCCAATGGTCCAGACTCGATTATTTACAGACCTCCGTCATATAGCTGGAATATTGCTGAGTGCGGCGTTAAACAACAAACCAACCAACCACACTGTATCCAGCATGTGATATACTGTAACAGTATATTGCACTAAATATACTGAATTCTGCATGTGATAATTATTTGCGGAAAATGTACAACTTTCAAGAGACAAGATTCAAGTTGCATTTAATATTACACATCAGACCGCCGTCATGTCACTGAAATCTTGCTGAAATCGACGTAAACACAATTTTCCTTAAAAATGGAGCGCTGCAGTCATAAACAAGCATATTATACATATGTAGTACCAACTCACTCAATCTGTTTCGAATATTCAGCAGAATTAACCAGCTGTGAGGTGAGATATTAGATGTTTACAAGCAGTCAAATAGGGATGACATAGGACCCCTCGCTGATTAGGTTCTTGTTTACTTTAGAGCAGTGTTGGCCATGTTTGATGATATAACCAAATGCCAGCGGCTGTAACCGACAGGAGCTCAGACAGGGGTGGGGCGGGATCGGGGGCCAACTGGAATTATTATTGTGAGGTGTGGGCTGTGACGTAGACTGTCTCCCAGACCCAAGAGAATAATGGAATTATGGGGAAAGTCTGGATTGCCTCAGCTCTAGCGTGAAGTTACGAATTGTTCTGTGCTCCTTTTGAATTTATTATTTATATTTGGTAGACGTGGATGGACCAACCAGGAAAGATATTGATTGGACATTAATATCACATGTTACCACTGATCCAGTTAAATTCATCACACAATAAAATAATAGTATTTGATGTTACTAAGTGCATGATCATGTACATGTTCATTGTAGTAATGCACATATACCAATCAACTTGATTATACTTTATATTATCGTGCCGACACATCAATCCGTGGTACTCACAAATCCGTGGTATTTTTTTTGACGTCATTTCTCGCGCACCTCGCACGGATTTGCGCCCCCTAGCGATTGTTTACCTTGACAACTCGATCGTGACAGCTCCGAGCGAAAAATGTTCAGAATTGCATCTATTTGCGTAAGTACAGCTTTATATTACGATAAACTAACTAAAACTAACCTTCTGCACGTAATGCACTTTTTGTACCATTATAAAAAATGAGATCGTAAAAAATATTCAACTCGTAAGTTCAGCAAGAGAAGTTCGTCTGCTAGCTGATGTAAACAGTAATGTGTATCACGTGACTACTAAGGAGAATACCCGCTCAATTTTTAAAACTATGGAAGCTGAGTAGGGCCATATCTTATATCGTTTATCGTGGTTTGTAGGATAATCCTGCGAGACGCAAACGACAGTACCGGCCTTATAGTCCAACACAACTGAAAGAAGCCTATCTGGAAGTAGTTGAACGAGGTTCTTCTGTCTACAAAGCAGCCAGGAAGTACTCTGTGCCTGACCAGACTCTGAGGGACAGAACAAAAGGCATTACTTCCCCAGAATGTTTGTCCTCTGGACCAGGGCCATTATTTTCCCAAGAAGAAGAAGCACGCCTTGTCGACCCCATAAAGCTTATGAGTGAGTGAGTGAGTGAGTATAGTTTTACGCCGCTTTTAGCAATATTCCAGCAATATCACGGCGGGGGACACCAGAAATGGGCTTCACACATTGTACCCATGTCGGGAATCGAACCCGGGTTTTCGGCGTGACGAGCGAACGCTTTAACCACTAGGCTACCCGACCGCCCCATAAAGCTTATGGCCTCAGTAGGGTATGGATATACCAGGGCGCAGGTTATCTGTCTTGGAACTGACTATGCCATAAATCTCAAGAAACGTAGTAATGTTTCCAAATCACTATCACTGCAGTGGTTTTATGGGTTGATGGGAAGATGGCTTGAACTGAAGTTGCGACGACCAAGGGGATTGTCTCAATTACGAGCCACTGCCACATCTGAGGAGAGCATTAACAAGTATTTTTCTCAACTTGAAGCAGTTCTTGACAAGTATGACCTAAAGTCAAGCCCAGAGCTGATCTACAACGTCGATGAGAAGGGAATTAATCTCACACATTCTTCACCGCAAATCGTTGGATCTGCAGACGAAGTTCCAATTGAAATCTGCCCAGAGAAATCCTCTACAGTTACTGTTTTGGGATGCGGCAATGCATTGGGTCAGAAGATTCCACCTTTTTTCATTTTCCCTGGTTCACGCATGCGCGATGACCTCTTAGATGGTTCGACAGTTGGAACTTGTGGAACTGTTAGCGAGACGGGATGGTCCAATACAGACATATTTCAGCGATGGTCGACAGGCCATTTTGTGAAATATGCCAAAGTCGGAGGTGACAAGAAAACTCTGCTGCTATATGACGGCCACAGGTCTCACATCACCCCTCATCTGATAGATTACGCTGTTGACCAGGGGATAATCCTGTTTGTTCTACCACCTCACACAAGCCATGTTCTCCAGCCGATGGATGTTGGGTGCTTTGGGCCTTTCACCAAGATTTTCAGTTCAGAATATAGGAAATGGCAGCGGTCAAATTCTGGAACAGTTAACCGATATAGCGTCAGTTCTTTGGCCTGTAAGGCATACGAGATTTCTCTGTCTGCCAGTAACTTGCACAGTGCTTTCAGGAAATGTGGTATTTATCCATTTGACCCAACGGCAATTGACAAGTCATTCCTGAAGACATCTACGTTTGCCAATCAACAGTTGGAAAAAGCTGCAGAAATTTCAGTTACATGTCCTGACATCGTTGAACAGCCCCCAGATTCAAGATTTTTTGAAGATCATCTTCCTGTTATTACCATTAAAAAATCGAAGCCCAGACGTTCTATCCATAAGATCGTTGGTGGACAAGCAATTACGGAACCAGATATTTCATGTCAAGTCACGGCTTACATCAACCAGTCCAAACAGTCAACAAACGGAGGAAGCAAGGCATCAAAATCAACTGCGAAGCCAAAGACAACTAAACCAACTACCAAGTCTACTAGCAAGGATAAGCAGGACAGTATGTCATCCCAACAACCTGGACCATCTGGGATTGATAAGCTCCTTATCTCAAGCGACGACCAATCAGATTCTGAATCTAACAACGATGATGACGAAAAGTGTTGTGTATGCGGAAAGTTTCAGCCAGTTGAACTGAGGCGATGTCAACATGTTGAATTCACTAAGTGGGGACAGTGCATGCATGGAAATTGTGAACACTGGGTGCATTTAAAATACTGTTGTGACATCTCCTTTCTTCGACGACATGATGTGTTTTTCTGTCCGTGTCACGGTCTACCTTGCAGACACCAAGTGAGTGAGTGAGTGAGTATGGTTTTACGCCGCTTTTAGCAATATTTCAGCAATATCACGGCGGGGGACACCAGAAATGGGCTTCACACATTGTACCCATGTCGGGATTCGAACCCGGGTCTTCGGTGTGACGAGCGAACGCTTTAACCACTAGGCTACCCGACCGCCCCTGCAGACACCAAGAGGAATAACGACATTTGTGATGATCATGATCATAAACTGTAAATAATCTGAAAATTTGTGTTCAAGTGACAGTTATTTCATATTTCATAATTCAGTACAGTGTTATCTGTATTTTGTTACGTTTGGAAGTGCCTTGGGAACATTACTTTCGATTCCAAAGAACTTTGACATTGTGGCGTGTGCTAACCACCCGTAGCTTGACGCGATGAACTTTACCACGGAAACATATGACGTCACTACATGTTGTGTAAAAATGGCCGCTATTGTACAGCAGCCGATACGGAGGCATTTGTGGACAAAGTGATGTTTCCTTGTAATTTAATGGTGTAAAGGTGAGTGTTCTAACGATTTATTTCACATTTATTGCTTGTCGAAGTCAGCGGGTTGGTTTATCGTAATGCTATTCTTAATACCACGGAAACACGCGTCGCGAGGGTATATTGTAGCGCGGCATCAACGATAACGATATGCTATCCTTACTTGTGATCGATGTATTGACAATGGACGACAATTCGACATTTGTATTCGAGCTATAAATAGCTTCAGCAGGGGCAGTACCGGTGTCAGTGGATCAAACAAAACTTCGTAGTTAAAGATGTGTATCTACAAAATGAAATTCAAAGGAGCCTAGAACAATGCTTACTTTCAGGGCTAGAAGTGAGGAAATCGTTCTAGACTTGATTTGGATTCATTCTAAACGATTCTCTATCTGTGTGCGAGCTCAGCCTGTGTTACCGCTTATAGATGAAAACCAAGCCTCGCTTTCACACAGGTTATAAATAGATTCAATGCTAAAGACCCCATAGGGACGTCACAACCCCTGTCACAGGAAGTGAAAAATCCTGGGCTCTACGCCTACCTCATATAAACCTTTTATTACAAATCTTATATGAACATGTAATGTTTTCACATATTTTCCATTTCCACATTTGTCAATTATTAAAACAACACCTTAATATAACCCATTCATGCACTGTAGAGGCTGTGAGAACATGTTTCTTGAAGTCACGTGACCTCAAAATATTCTCTTACAGGGTAGAAGTCATTCACAAAAATATGGGTTCCATCTATCTTAAAGGGGGGAGGGGCCAATTCCTATGTTTCCTGCAATCACTGATCACTAAGCTTACTATATCCAACTTAAAATAGGAGGAGCTACAACTGTAAACATGTTTTTAATTGGATAAAAGACAGTTCCCAGTTTTCCCCTCGAAGTGACCAAGTCCCACACAGAGCGGCCAGAAACATAAATAAATCTGGCACGTTACTGATAGCATCACATTCTAGTGACAGATATGTTACTTTAGGGCAGCTTCACACCGTTTGTTTAAATTTGTGTTGACTGATTTGTTATTGATTGTCCAATTTGTATGTCAGGGGTCTAAACTGATTGCTTACAGGTTGTGGTGTTTAACATTTGGTTCTTTTTGTCTTAAGCTGTCTGGACATAGTGTTATCACACCGAACAGACATTTGCGCTTAAATAAATCAGAACTTAAATCTCAATTATGTACTGGTTTGTTAGTTTTAATTAGGGAAAGTAACCCTTCACAACACCGGAAGTAGTCAAGATTTTAGTCACGTGACCTCTATCAGTAAAATGATTGGCTCAAACCTATCGTCTGCTGTAGCAGTATACTACTGTTACTGTTGTAGTGGATTACTTTTGGATTATACCTTGGCTATTGCATTTTAATGCTCAGTCATGGCTAAATTGTGTGTTGGCATGGTATCTCAGTGAGCTAGCACTATAAATCGGCATCAGTCCGGACTAGTACAAGCAGTCACACACACACACACACACGTGCATGCACGTCGCTATATAAGTGCAATAATCTTGGACGCCACGTTAAACCAAATTTCACCTCACCTCACCTCAGGTATGCATACAGTTGGGACAATTTTAAAGAAGATGATCCTCATCATGAAATGAATAAACCTTATTATCCAGGTGAAAAGCATTAATATCCAGTGAACATATTTCGTAACATGGAAAACTAATAAAAGTACAAAAAAGTTGTTTCAGTAGAAACCTCTGTTGACAGAGACTACAGTGTGCGAGCTCAGGCTATGTTACCGCTTATAGATGAAAACCAAGCCTCGCTTTCACACAGGTTATAAATAGATTCAATGCTAAAGGCCCCATAGTGACGTCACAGCCCCTGTCACAGGAAGTGAAAAATCCTGGGCTCTACACCTACCTCATATAAACCTTTTATTACAAATCCTATATGTACATGTAATGTTTTCATATATTTCCCATTTCAACATATGTCAATTTACCAAAATAATACCTAAATATAACCCATCCATGCACTGTAGAGGCTGTGAGAACATGTTTATTGAAGTCACGTGACCTCAAAATATTCTCTCACAGGGTAGAAGTCATTCACAAAAATATGGGTTCCATCTATCTTAAAGGGGGGAGGGGCCAATTCCTATGTTTCCTGCAATCACTGATCACTAAGCTTACTATATCCAACTTAAAACAGGAGGAGCTACAAATGTAAACATGTTTTTAATTGGATAAAAGACAGTCCCCAGTTTCCCCCTCGAAGTGACCAAGAAGTCCCACACAGAGCGGCCAGAAACATAAATAAATCTGGCATCTTACTGATAGCATCACATTCTAGTGACAGATATGTTACTTTATGGCAGTTTAACACCGTTTGTTTAAATTTGAGTTGACTGATATGTCATTGAGGGACTAATTTGTGTGTCAGGGGTCTAAACTGATGGTTTACAGGTTGTGGTGTTTGACATTTGGTTCTTTCTGTCTTAAGCTGTCTGGACATAGTTTGTCAGTGTTATCACACTGAACAGACATTTGCACTTAAATAAATCAGAACTTAAATCTCAAATATGTATTGGTTTGTTAGTTTTAATTAGGGAAAGTAACCCTTCACACCACCGGAAGTTGTCAAGATTTTAGTCACGTGACCTCTATCAGTAAAATGATTGGCTCAAACCTATCGTCTGCTGTAGCAGTATACTTCTTTTACTGTTGTGGTGGACGATTACTTTTGGATTATACCTTGGCTATTGCATTTTAATGCTCAGTCATGGCTAAATTGTGTGTTGGCATGGTATCTCAGTGAGCTAGCACTATAAATCGGCATCAGTCCGGACTAGTACAAGCAGTCACACACACACACACACGTGCATGCACGTCGCTATATAAGTGCAATAATCTTGGACGCCACGTTAAACCAAATTTCACCTCACCTCACCTCAGGTATGCATACAGTTGGGACAATTTTAAAGAAGATGATCCTCATCATGAAATGAATAAACCTTATTATCCAGGTGAAAAGCATTAATATCCAGTGAACATATTTCGTAACATGGAAAACTAATAAAAGTACAAAAAAGTTGTTTCAGTAGAAACCTCTGTTGACAGAGACTATAGAGTGAATATGTCATCTGCTAGCAAATTGTATTTACTGTTTGCAGGTCGCACTTGAGAACGAGGCTTGGTTTTTACGGGAAAAGATATCAATTTCAAAATTGAGGCTATGCTCGCACACTGTATGGTCTAGGAGACATACTAGCTACGGTGTCAGTATCTCACGGAGAATTGACCCAGGGTCAGCCTGGGTCAGCCTGGGTCTGTGTAATCGGATTTGTTGTGGAGTCTAGGGTTTTGTCTGTTTGCTCAATAGAACAAAGGCGCGCGAACAAGGACACCATGCTCCACCTCCCCACACAAGTCTGCCATAGCAGATATATATTATTGTGATTTGAAATCTCTGATTGAACAATTGCGAGTTATTGCATACTCTGTATTCTTTCGTCTTGGTGGAAGTTTTCTGTTTTATTCTTTTTTAATTATCAACAAATATTGTGAGCTATAAAGTAAACATCTACCTGGAGATACTACCACTAAACGCATATCTGATAAATAGGACTAAATTACTAATATTCCTTTCCTAAACACTCCTACTTACAGGCATTCTAATCATAATATCATACTATGTATAGTTCAAAAGTTGAGAAATATTGCATTTCAAATAATGGCAAATTAATGTCTAATACAGTGTATTCTTCCTCATTTTGAATTCATTATAATTTATGCAATAAAAGCTAAACATCAGATCGTGATATAAACAGATGTGATCCACTCTGTGATAAGTGAATTATTTATTTCTTACTATGGAATAAATAAAGTGAAAAGATACATACAAATCATTTTAATCTCTTTATGTGAGTAGGTAACCAGTGATCGAGACAACTCACTGACGGAACAGCTCTTCTACTAGTCTATATTTCAATACATGTATTTGGTATTCTTAATAATTCCACAAAAGCTACACAATGGCGACAAATACTGTACCAGCATCACAGATACCAATGATACAATTTGAACACGATACACATATAATTACTTTAAAGTTAAAATATGTCTCTAAAAAGTAAATTAGCAGGTTTTAAAATATACGCTTCCGACATTTTTCGTATTATGTTTCGTTGGGCGAGAAAAGCAGTGACAATAGTGACTGGTGTCTGATGGGTGCAAACAGGTGTCGGGTCGCTGTCTCAGATTGCTCAAATTGCTTGGCCCTAAATACCCGGACGACGATACAGACCGTGCAGTAGTTTATCTCAAAGTCCCTGTACCATATTATTTTCCCTTCCGCCTAGCTTAGCCCTTACTGTATTGCTATAGCCCCAAATGAAGCAAGTCTAGATTTTCAACAGGCTGAGGCTGAAATTTCCATCTCAATTGGGCTCCTTTTTAATTCAAACATAGTTGTCCGTTTATATCAGACACGAAGCATTTGTCTAACCCCAGTCTGCCATAGCAGATATATATTATTGTGATTTGAAATCTCTGATTGAACAATTGCGAGTTATTGCATACTCTGTATTCTTTCGTCTTGGTGGAAGTTTTCTGTTTTATTCTTTTTTAATTATCAACAAATATTGAGAGCTATAAAGTAAACATCTACCTGGCACTGCAAACACGAAAACGTCGTTTTTTTCCGTATATGGTCATTGGACGGAAAAACGACGTTATTTGGACGTTTTCAAACCATCGTTTTTCCGTCCAAATAACGTCGTTATTTGACATCGGAATTTACTGGGAGAGAACGATAGCGTTAAGCTCCTCCCTTTCTTGATTGACATTGTCAATCAAGCAACAGCGCCTACCGGTATTTCTACTTCTCGGTTTTCATTGGTCTGTCCCCGCGTGTTAGATTACAGGCCCGCGTTTGACGCTGCACTCGAAGCGCTTAGCGGAAGTACTGAAATCAATCGTTCTGCGCATGCGGATTACTTAATGCCTTGACCAAATTTTCCGTTCTGTGCATGCGCGATTTCGCGTATTGTT